TTGCAATTGAGATGCTCATGATTATACATTTTTGTTAGAAGGAAAAAACTGATACCCGTATGCAGTACAGCAACTATGTGTGTTAGGTTCCAAGCTCCAGGTGAACGGCATAAACTGCTAGTGTGGTGCTGTTAGTTTCATGGACGTCATAATTGCCAAGTCGCATGTTTGTTTTCCTTTTTAAACTTGTATTTTGTTGGCAAAAACAGCCTCTTCTGCATTCAGTGAAACAAACCATCAGGAAGGGTGCACACTTGCAAGGTTGGTTCACATGTTACTGTGACCACAGGCTCTGGAACCAGACCCCTTAGGTCTTAAGTTCCTTACCGAGATAGTTGTCTGACTTCAGACAAGCTCCTGAGTCTTTGTGCCTCAGTTTCCTCACCAAAAGGAAGATACAAATAGTACCCCTACCTCAAAGACCATGAGAATTGTGAGAGTGTATAGAGCTTAAGGCATAGAAAGTATGGTGTTTGATATTATCATTGTTTGCCATATAATGGAGTTTTGTCATAAAAGTGACAGGGATGCTAACAATCTGAACCAAACCTAAACCAGGAAGACAGGGAGTGGAAGATGTGCTTTTAATAGATTATCGAACAATAGACCACTTAGGAGGGGCACAGAGACAGGACAGAAGGGGTAACCCCTTCACATCCTGCATCAGGAAACTGTGAGTACATTGATCATAACTGTTTCTGATCATGCATGGAAACTTTCTTGGGTGTGTTGGCCAGAGCTAAGTGCATGGGTCAGAGGCAGAGGGAAGGAGAAAAAAAGAGGCCAAGCAAAGAACTGAACAGAGAGCACAAGCTTGCTTCTGTAGTGCTTTCATTCTCATCAGAACACTAATCTGCAGACAGATTCATTGATGGAGTTTCAGATTCAGCTCTGTGAATTTTAGCAAATTATTTAACCTCTTTGAATTTGTTTATTTATAAAATGAAGGTGATGATAAGACTCCTCAAGGTGTAAAATCCTTTACACCATGTACAGCACTTATTAACTCAGTGCCTTAAATACAGGAAGTTTTCTGGATGGTTGTCATGATATCACCATCATCATCATCATCAGTTGGTATTTAGAAGCCAAAGACCAGAACCTTGTCTTGATACAATTTCTGTTTCTGTACTTTTTCTCATTGCTTTGGCTTCTAAAGGAAAGCCAGTACACATACTTTATCACTGCAGAGTCTTTGCCTTCACATACGTAGTCAATCCCAGCAGAGCTGCACTGACCTGTGGAAGCAGCACTTGCTGTTTCAGTCAGATGGGCACCAGCAAAGCCAAGCCAGGCAAGCCTTTGCCAAGACAGAAGCTCTAAAAATTCCTGAGGCTAAGCAAAATTTGCCTAACTCACCCTTCCTCAGTTTTCTTTTTTCTTTTCCGTTCTCGTCCTCTCTTCCGCTCTCTTCTATTTTCTATTTTTGTTTGAGACACAGTGTCACTATGTAGCCCAAGCTGGCCTTGAAGCTCAAGATCCTCCTGCCTCAGCATCCTGAGTGCTGAGATTACAGGCATATGCCAGCAGGCTCACCCGGACTAAGTTCTCTTATATGAGGACATTAATCTGAAAGAGACAGAGACTGTTTTCAGATGGGAACAGGGTTAGGAGGTAATCCTTGCAGTAATTCCTAATGGTGGCTTAGATCAAGGTAGAGGTGGTACAAAGCAATCAGATTCTGGATCTCTTTGAATGAGGAACCAGCAGGATTTTGCATATATTTAAAATATAAAGACAAAATAAGAATAATTTGTAATAAGAATATATTCATTATATAGATGTTCTGGCATGGCTGTATTACCATGCAAAATATTAACCATCAAATATCCAAAGCGGTTTTTAGGTTTGTGAGGTTCCAGTCCCTCTCACAATTGTTACTTCAAAGGATAATGGCACAAGTTCACATTTATAGCAGACTTCTTTTAGCGATGAATCATTAGTAGTATCAGAAGATACCAACTGTCATTAGGATAACTTTAGGGCAACTAGGCTTAAGAGCAGAATGAAAACAGTTTTCTTCTGGTGTCCAGAAGAAAGTTAACATATTTAACAAACATTACTGTGCATCTGCTATGTGCCATGCACTATTCTAGTTGTTGATAATAAAACAGAGTTGCTGCCCTCTTACATGTTATACAATAGAGGAGAAAATCAGTTAGCAAATAAATATGATATGTAAGAGTGACAGATACTATAAAGAAAAATAAGGCAAAGCAAGGAGCTAGAAAGTAGTGGGGTGTGTGTATGTGTGTTAGATAGGAGAGCAGAAAAGAAGTCTGAGCAGAGATATGAAGGCTAGAGTCGAGGATGAGTGTCCTAGGAAGAGGAAAGAGGGAGCACACTCGGTCTAGGAGTTGAAAGATAGCACATGTTAGTTAGCACCTAGCATGTGCTGATACCTTTCCTTACTTATTTTCCCAGTAATATTATGCAATGGGGAATGACAGCCTCATTCGACAGATCAGGGAATTGAGGCAAACAAATTAGAAAATAATGAAGTCATGATTCAAATCCAGAACCACCTGGTTCTACACCCAAGGAACTGGAGGAAGGAATGCTCCTGGGGGCTGCTGCTTTTAGTAGTCTATCACATGACCATAAAGATAATTTAGTTCTTTTTGGAGAGAAATGGGAAGACTGCACAGGAGACTTGAAACCATAATCATTTATAGTTCTTCATGTAGTATTCTAAAAAGGTTACTGCATAAGTACTTTGGAATATTATGATTAAAAAACAATCCAGATTGTGTTAAAATTAATAAGCATTGCTAGTTTTGAGCTTTTTGTTTATATGACTTATTGAAGTTTTTGTTTTGTTTTATCTTGTTTGGTTGGCACTTCCTTAGTTAATAATACCATTATCTAACAGGAACATAAGCTCATTTTCATTGTTTAATGCTGAAGAGTTTACAATCTTGAATTTATGCTGGGTTTAACACAAATAAGCAATTGTAAACTAAGTGCTTTGTTAGGTATCATCTGATGGGAATACACTCATTGTGAATGCTTACTATAAAATTAAAATAATGTGGAAGATGTGTCATACTTTTTAACCCACAATGCCATCTATTCGAGGGCTGTTCAGTTTGTAGATATATTTTTACTCTTCTAATATGACATGCTATGAAATTGAGATATAGATTCATGAAATAATGATCACGGCTGACATTTGAGTGTTGCCGTCTCCAGGCTTTATTCTCTCTGCCTCTCATGCTTTGAACCTTGCATTTAAATGCCATTTATGTCTTCAATAATGGAATGTTTTATTAACTTAGATGTCCCAGTCATTTCTACTAGCCTCAGAGTGTAGCCTTAGAATAACTGAAGAGCAGTATGGTATGTTAAAAATTAATTGTGGAAAGCTTTTGATCTAGTTTTAAGGTCATTAAGCAGAGACTGGGTCCCCAGGAAATATGGTCACAAGTGTCACTTTTCTTACAGCTTATGTTTACAGTCGTATCTGATATGAAAAAGTAAATTAAAAGAAATTACTTTTCTTAAGGTTTTATTAGATAGCAATTAAGAGCACAGAGAAAGAGGCACTATGTGAAATGGTTAGGGGTGTAGATTTTCTGTTGGCCTGCCTAGCTTCAGATTATAGTTCCTTCATTTGCTAGCTCTGTTAGCCTGGCAAGTTACTAGCCTCTTCAGGCCTCTGTTTATTTATCTGGATATTGGGCCTCTAAGAGTTCCTGGCTCATGGGCTTTTGAGAAAATTGGCATGAATCGATGTCTGTAAAGTGCTTGGCACATCGCAGCCACAATCGCTTGAGAACCATTATCATCATCGTAGGTGGTGGTGGTTGAAAAAAGTGAAAGACGCTTGAAATTAATACTAGTTAAGGAAGAAAAATTCCTTTCTGACACAAACTACATAAAGTTAAAGGAAATGCAGATAAAATAGCCGCTCTTAGATATTTCTTTTAGTATAAGATAATATCTGACCAAATTATTTTTGTTAAAATATCTCAATTAACCTAAAAATGTCTTTAAGTAAAAATAAATATTTTAATGATAGAATTAATTTGAGAAATGTAGATTTGTCCCATTGTGATAAATTGTAACAGTCTCTAAAAAAATTAAAAATTAATTATTAGTTTTAGCGGACAGCTATATTATATTGAACTCTTGGTGTTTTTGTATGTCAGCTATATTTTTTAAGTTTCACAACCAGTTAGCGAATGGAGTTTTAAATAGCTATTCTGATTTGTGTCTGAGTTACATATCTAATACTGAGATGGAAGTGCACATTCCTTAAACTTTTAAAAAGTTCCATTCTTAGCCAGGAGCTGGTGGCTCATACCTATAATCCTAGCTACTCAAGAGGCAGAGATCAGGAGGATCGAGGTTCAAAGCCAGCCCCAGACAAATAGTTCTCAAGTATCTTGAAAAAACCCATCACAGAAAAGGGCTGGTGGAGTTTTTCAAGCAGTAAGAGCATGCCTGCCTAGCAAGCATGAGGTCCTGAGTTCAAACCCCAGTGCTTCCCTCTCCCCCCAAAAAAGTTCCATTCTTTCATGGAAATTAGCAATGAGTTTCTTTAGAGCATGTCAGCCCATTTCTTCTGTCACGTAAAACAAGAAGTCAAATGGTTAAAAACATTGTGTCCAGAGATGCAGAGTATCAGATTGCTGTTAAGAATACTTTAGGGCTAGGGATGTAGCTTAGTGGTAGAGCCACGTGTATATACACAAGGCCCTGGGTTTGTCCCCACTTAGGATTTTGTTTAAGGAGATGGAAATGCTAATTGCCTTGATTTGATCATTACACATTGTATCCATGTATTGAATCACCATGTACATCCATCTTAAAAAAAAAAAAAAAAAGACAAAAGACTGGATTCTCATATTGTTGCAGGTAAAATTACAAGTCTGAAGAAATTAACCTCTCACTAAGAAAACAAGTTTTTATTTTAATTTTTTTCTGTTAGATGATTTATAAGCATATTGCTATCATTTGTGAATTTAATTAAATAATTACCATTTATTTTTATAAAGGTTCAGAAGTCCAGAGAGATGACATACTGTGGATAGCCATGGCAGGGACCCATCAGATATGGGCACTCCTACTGGACTCTGGCAAACTGCCAAAGAAAAAGTAAGTGACTGCATTTCTGCATGGACAGCCCTTTGTGGAGTTCACAGGATCTCCTTTCCCAAAGCTGCCTCCTCAGCACCCATGCTACTTGTCGGGGTGGGCTAGGTTGTCTACTATAACAAACAACCTGGATGCACTCAGTGCCTTTGAACAAAGCCTTTCATTGCTCACCTACATAGCTTTGCTGGGGGACAGTGCTCTACACCCAGGCTGAGGAAGCAGCCACCATCCTGACTGAGCAAGAGAGGAAGCAGTGGTCATTCACTCGCTAGATCCTGAAGCTTCTGCTCAAAAGTGACAACATGTCATATTTCATAAGCTATAGTGAGGCTGTGGCCACATGTAACTTCTAGAGGTGAGGGAAAAGCTGTTCTCTTGAGTGCCCAGAAAGTGAACTGAAATGTTTGGTGGACCCTCATCTTCAAAACATGGTTCAAGTATCTACAATCATTCCTTCACATGGTTGAGTACCACATGACAGAGTGGTTACTACTCAGGATTTTGTGGTCGAGCCTGAGGTGGAATCCTAGCTCTGCCACTTACTATCTCTGTGAGCTTAGGAGAGCCCCTTTAGCTTCTTAAGCTCTATTTGTGGTAACTCATCTGCTTTTATGAGAGAGAATTAATAGTCTGTGTGAAGGTCTCAGCGTCTTTCCTGGCACACACAGTAACTATAGTGCATATTGGACATCTAAGATGACAAGGTAGTGGCTCTACACAGTGTTTTCTGTCCTCTCCTAGAGCTTCCCCTCTTCTCATTACACCTGAGCTGACCATGCTCTTCTCTGTTGCTTCGCCATACTCCATATGGACTCGTGTCACTGCACTGAAGTTTCCCTGCCTCTTTCCCATCTCTCCCTGCTCCCTTTTTCTCTCCCACTGTCTTTTAGGTCAAACTTATTTTTAACTGTTTCCTCTTAAAGGAACCCTGACCCGTTAACTTTTGTGGCTCCTGTATGTAGTACAGTGTCTGGTAATAAGATATCAGAGCTCAGTAAAGGCTTACAGATTGAGTAAATGAATGAAAGTCATATAGATCATAAATATTGCAAATCACCATAGAAAGTGAGTACTGGGCATCTTTGTTATCTCACCAGTTGTATAGAAAATCCAAAATATCGGGTATTCCAAATAGTGTGTGCATGCATGTGTGTTGCTTTGGAACATATTTGTGCAATGTTTTACATTTAATAATGCACCTAAAATATACTTATTATGCTTATTATGCTAAGATAAAATGAAAACATTTGGTTGTTCTCCATGGGTTTACAGGGGAAGAGTCAGATCAGCATACAATTAAAAATAATATATATAAGGGCTGGTGGAGTGGCTCAAGCAGTAGATCACATGCCTAGCAAGCTTGAGGCTGAGTTCAAAAACCCATAACACACACACAAAAATAGTATATATAAAAAGAATCACTGCAGTAGTCCTTTAAGTGAATTTTTATCATTAAGATTTGAGATCCAAAGAGGACTTTCTGGAAGTGGCATACTAAACTGAGAGCTGATGAAAGACGTGTTAGACAGGGAGCCCTAACACCAGTGATGTCAGTGGTGGCCAGCTCATGCAGTGCCTTGAGAGTCCTTTTAAGAGATTTGGATGTTCTGCAAGCCTTTATAAAAAGTTTTAAGCTGGGAAGTGACATGATTAGATCTGTGTTTTTGAAAGAACCCTGGCAGCATTCAGAGTGGAACAAGACTGAAGACAGAGATACTATTAAGGAGGCTATAGATGTTACTCAGGCAAGAGACAATAATAGCCCAGCAGTGAGGTTACCAGTACTGGTGTAAGTGAGGCAAACAGCGTAAACAGTAAACAGAAGTAACAGAGCTTGCCAGAATATGCTGTTCTGGTTGCTGGCTGTTTTAGACATAGATGGTCAAGGGCTGCCTAAATGTCCTAATAAGTAGAGTTTTCATACTTGGTCACAATAGGAAAATGGTCACTCCAATCACATTGACTTGCATCTTAATTTTAAGGATGCATTGTCTTTATTTTTTACTGATCTTCAGGTGGTAATGGCCTCTAGTGTTTTAAACATTACCGTTTCTCCCCACTGTCTTTTATTTAATTAAAGGAACTTCTTTTTTTAAAGTTTTAAGACTCCACAGTAATTACCTTTCCAATTTGTTCCTTTTACGTATTAGTTATTATGTTTTTCTCTAGCTACCTCATGTTTATAAGTTCTTTGAACAAAGGTTATGTTTTATACATTTGTATTCTTTCTTCTACTTCCTGCCTAACTTAGCATTGGGAATGTACCAGTAAATAGTGATGGTCATTGTAGATTTGTACTGTATTTGGAAATGGAATACATATAGTCTCTCATTTTGCATTCGAAGTCAGCTTCTTCCTTTCCCTCGTCACAACACACTACCATGTCTTCTTTATAATCCTGGCATAAATTTAGAAACCAGGGGTAAAACTTTTTCTTACAAAAGGAATCATTGCCGTAGCAGTAGTCTTTTTGTTATTGTTTGATTTTTGTTTCATGAGACAGAGTCTTACTGTGTAGCCTACATAGGCTGGCTGCAAACTGGAGATTCTCCTGCTTCAGATTCTCAAATGCTAGGATTATGGCATGTGTTGGCATACCTAGCTCTGCAGTACTCCTTTAAATAGACAGTACCCTAGTATATATAAAAAACTTATTTTGTACAATTGATTAGTTAGCACAGCATAGTTACCCTTTGTCATTTTCTTGAAATGCTAATGCCCAACTTGGATATCTTACAAAAATGATTCTTTAATTCCATTTGCTAGTCTCTAACTTTGATACAAGAACACAAAACATTTTTAATGAAACCTTAAAGCCTTAAACTGTCAGGAACTTGGTAATCTTTTTAGCTACCTTTTAGAACCGAGTAAGCATAAAGCTAAGAAGTTTTTTATCAGTGATCTGATGATTTTTGTTTTGCTAGAATTCCAGTCCTGTCATGCATTTCCTGTTTGGTCTTTGAGAGTGTTTTCAATTGTATATATAATGAAGAGTAGTAGGACATCCCTTTCACAGTGGAAATGAGATAATGACTAGAAAAAAATGGTGAGAGCTGACTGGCACAGTTTAACTAGGCCACAATCACTAGTCTTGGGTTTGGTTTTATAAACAACATTATCACATCCATTTGATCATTTACATTCACTTGTTTAATACCTGAATTGGACATGATATACCACTTGTGGATTCCACCTATGAATTTGTCTTCCAGTGAGCTAAAAAAAGGAACCTGCCTTCGGTTTGCTGGAAGTGGAAGTGAAGAGAATCGAAACAATGCGTATCCTCACAAGGCGGGTTTCGCTCAGCCTTCGGGGATTTCACTGGCTTCTGAAGACCCCTGGAGCTGTCTCTTTGTAGCAGATAGTGAGAGCAGTACAGTGAGAACCGTTTCCATGAAAGATGGAGCAGTAAAGCACCTCATAGGAGGAGAAAGAGATCCCCTGGTAATGAAAGAGTCTTTGTGCTGTATACCCACTGACCATACTGGAGTTCTCTGAATTGTGGAGAGTAAATGAAATTTAAGAGATCATTCTTAGCCTATCCTTGAGTAAAATGAAATCAAACCAAAGGAAGTCTGAATACAAAGAAACAAAAAGCCACTGAAAAAGCAAATTGACTCTACCTATGTTAAGGCTACAGGGAGATAGAAAGGATAAAATGTTTATTACTGGAGAGAAGAGAAAAATGTACATTATATATTTAGCAGTGGATTGGAAAGAGTACCAGACTAGCAGATTTGACCTGTTTCTAACCAGATGTAGGACTATTATGAGTAAAACAACAAAGCACCCAAAATTAGCACAGGCTTAAAATTCTATCATTTCTGGTCTACATCAAATACCAGGCCTATTTATATGAAAGTCAAAACTTTTTCCCCTTTGACTTTAATAACAGTTAGAGCTATCTTAATTTTCACTGTATAGCCTAATAAAACACTGAAGGAAAATTTAATAATTGCTGTTTCTTTCTCTTTAAAAAAATGTAAAAAAAGAATTTATTTGCTTTTGGTGATGTTGATGGAGTAGGCATCAGTGCAAAGCTTCAACACCCACTTGGAGTAGCATGGGACAAGAAGAGGAATTTGCTTTATGTGGCAGACTCATATAATCACAAGGTGAGTCTTGACAGAATTATATAATACCTTGTTTTTTGTCCATGATATTTAAAATGCTGAAATATCTGTGCACCTCCTACAAGTGCCACTCCAAAAAATATAGAGGAACAGCAGCCCTGGCAACTATGTGCCAGCTTGTCCTTTGCTTCTCTGGGTGTTGTTTGGCTTGGCTTGTCAGGAGGTTATGATAGTTTCTCAACCTGGGAAAGCACTAAACCAGTTCTAGTGGCTGTGACCAAAACTTGTGAATTGTGACCCTTCCAAGCTGCTTAATAACATTTTCAGGACATAAGAAGAAAGCAGGTAGTGAGGAAAGCAGTATATCCCCTAACAGAAGTTTTTTGAACTGTTACATAGTTCCATCCTGAGCAGCATTTCCACTTTTGCCTACTCATTTGTTTCAGTTACTATGTTTGTTTTTTTAAAAATCAGTAGCTGCTAATTTTTTTAAATAAACAAAAGTTAATAAATAAATAAAAGTTAATACTGTGTGATTAGCTATTTAATATGATTGAGATATAACTGACACTCGTTAAGTTTAACAGCAGTATAAATCTTCAGGCAATGCCAGAAATGCATGTGAAGATAGTCAGTTCAATTGTGAAAGTATGTTCCATTGTGAAGAAAAACAATAAAATAATTATTATTTTGAAGATCCAAGATTGTTCTGAGAAAACATCCTATAACAAGGGATTTTATATAGTTTTTGCTCTTCTGATGGAATATCTGCCCTTAAATTGTGCTGTTTGAATATTTGGCTTTTTAAAAAATATATGGAAATATCTACCTTTTTTGAGATTTATTGAGAATGCTAATGGCAATTAGGAATCCTCTAGTTCTCTTGATACTACACCCTTCCCTACTATAAACATGAGATCATCTTCAGGTATAAATTTTTGTTCTTCAGATTAAAGTTGTGGATCCAAAAACAAAAACTTGTACAACATTAGCTGGGACTGGAGACACAAACAATGTCATCAATGCTAGTTTTACTGAGTCAACTTTTAATGAACCAGGAGGCTTGTGTGTTGGAGAGAATGGCAGGCTGTTATATGTAGCAGACACCAATAATCATCAAATTAAAGTGATGGATTTAGAATCAAAAACAATTTCTGTGGTAAGTTATCTGAGAACGTAAGTTAAAGGATGTGGTTGTAAGAATGATACTGAGGTCCTCAGTACTGACAGAGGCGTTTTTGGTTAGGCCATCTCCTTGGTGAAATTGATAAATGTAGATAGAGTAGTAAAGTGATGCCGCCATTGTGTTCTTTGATGATTAGATTAGGAGGCTTGCTTCAAGGATCTCCTGTTACTCTTAAAATAAAGTTCCATCTGTACTGAGAAAGACACTGAAAGCTGGAGAGAATTCAATGATCCTTTAAGAATAAAAGGATTCAAATCTGGTTTTGAATTTATAGATACACTGATACACACTACATATGTGTACTGTGTGGGTTGGGTTGTTTCATTCACACACTACATATGTGTACTGTGTGGGTTGGGTTGTTTCATTCAGTGATTCTTAGGTTATTGTGTAATCTTTGTTTCCTGTGGCGGATCCATTGCCAGATAACCTTCAGAAGAGCCTCTAGAAGCCACATCTCATAAAACCATGAAGATAAGATTGGAGAGACAAATTGTGACCACTTTTTAAAGATGTGGACGTGGTATCCAGTTGAATTTTCAAAGAGAAATGTCTTTTACAAGCTCCTTCTTGACATATCATGTTTATCTGAAAAAGTGCAAGAACTTTTTCTCTAAAATTCTAGTTACTTGCAAAGAATATACTTTAAAATAAAAAGCTCATATTGCTATCAAAAGTGTCATCTCTTCATCAAAAGTGTCATCTCTTCACATAGATCCCTAGTATGACATGAACAACGTCTTTACTTGGCAGTGAAAATTGTAAAAGAGTATATTATTTAAATTCATAAAATGTTACTTTAATTTCCTGGTACCTATAAACATTCGACAATTAATTTAATTCTGCCTCCTTTATAAGCGTTTGTAATCCTTTGATCTTTTCACTAAGGTGAACTATTTTTTTATTCCCCCTAAATAATCTAGAGTGTATTTAGGTAGAAACATTCTAATTGAGACTAGAATGATAATCAGTGTCATTGATATAGAACTTAATTTTTCTACTGAAATCTAAAAGGCTCTCTCACTTCTGGTTACTGTAAGTATTTGTGCTTTAATAACACATTTTCTGATTTCCTAGCTCCCTGTGTTCAGATCTGACAGTGCTATAGTTGATGGCCCATTCCTAATAGAAAAAAAGAAGACAGTACCAAAACTACCAAAGTCAGCCCTGCGCATTGGTCTTTCCCCGGTGGCTGCATGTCCTGGCCAGATTCTTCAGTTGAAGCTCAGATTAGACCTCCCATCAGGAACAAAGCTGACTGAAGAAGTACCCAGTTGTTGGTTTCTAACAGCTGAAGGTATGTCACCTATGCAAATACTTAGTAAATTCTTGATGTTTAATATTGCTTCTTGTTCGTCATGTGATTTTAACTCTTAATTGGGCAAGATTTGAGAGAAATTATGAGGGAAAGTGAATCCAGGTCTGATCCCACTTTGGCAGTTTTCTTTAGTCTTCAGGAGTCTTTCTTCCCTTTTATTAAGGAATAGTGTAACTCACTGAAAGTTACGTTTCAGTTGTTAGCACCATGGTTTCTTGAAATAAGGACTTGCCTGTATCTCTTCCCATAGTCATCCTTGTTTTTTGTTCCCAAAAAGAGCCAGTTGAGAAGTCTGAAATAGAGGAATGAAGTGGAGCCTCCTTATTTAATATCTTTTCTGTAACTCCTCCTTCTATATATCTTTATTCAGTCCTCCCTTACTGTTAGATGTGTGAAACACAGTTGAACCAGCTCCTTATGTCACTGATTGGTGATAAGAAGACAGTGAAATGCTTGTCTTTTTCTAGTACTCTCAAAGCCCTGAATCATAGTGGGCAGAAGTTCTAAAGTGACATAGTAGTAGTCCAGGAACCCATACACATGACTTCTTGTCTCAATGATCTTCCTCTGTCCTAGTCTCCCACGCTCTTTCACATGTTCTCACTCAGTCTTTTATTTCCTCCCCCACTTCCTCTCTCTTGCACCCTCTCACATACTTATTTACTTATTTGTTTATTTATTTATTTTGGTTCAGTACCCAAATCTTGACCTCATCCCTTCTTTCCTTCATACATTCTCCAGGCAGAAGATACTGGCCTGCAGCTATCAACTCGCTGTCCAAAACAAGAGGACAAAGATCTTGGTAGTTTTAGCCAATTTAGCTGTTGTGTCTGTGTCCGTAGGTCTGAAAGCAGTGTGTCAGTTGGAGATCACTAATGTAACTTATCTTTGTAATTATAAATTGTATAGTATTAAATAACCTTTCAGGCAAGAATCTTAATAATTAAGAGTTCTAGGAACTATTTTGTAGAGTATACTTACGATTACAAGATATTTTCTGTTTGAGATAGATACTGAAGTGGTTAGGGTATGTGAAAATTTTAAGCCAAAAAATAAGGGAAGGAAGAAAGAGGGAGAGGAAAAAGGTGGTATAGAAGAACCACTGGTGCTGGACACTGGTGGCTCACGCCTGCAATCCCATCTACTTGGGAAGCTGAGATCAGGGAGATTGAGGTTTGAGGCCAGCCTAGGCACATAGTTTGAAAGACCCCATCTCCAAAATAATCAGAGCAAAATGGTCTTAGTGGCGTGACTCAAGGGGTAAAGCACCTACTTTGCAAGTGTGAAGCCCTGAGTTCAAACCCCAGTCCCACCAATAATAAATAAATAAAACATTATGACTTCAAAAATCCTAAATGTGATGTGTGAGGTATACAGAAATACCTAGAAAAATATTTTCTGTTTGATTTCTGCCTTTAAATATTTAAAATAACATCACTTGTTATTTTCCTGACTGAACGTAAAATTTAAGATGTTCACTACTAATCTCTAGTAAAAATCAAAGGTTAAGTAAAGCATACTCTCCAGTCCAAAAAATAAGCAGGGAAATCCAAAGACTTTTGAACAGAATTTTAGAAGAATTATTTAAAAGCTCCTGCATGAAAATTCTGCTCTTACCCTCTTAGATTCTTTACCTTTCACTTTGCTTATGCTTATTTATTTTTCTCAACTGTGATTTTTTTTTTTTCTGGTCAACAGAATGTTCTATAAAGATGTGGAGAATATTAGAGGTGTGGAGAGGGCGAATAGAGGCCGGCACTCTAGTCTGGGACCTCAGCATGAGGGCAAAGGAAAGAGCCCAGAAAGCTAAGAAGTGGACATAGCATCTCATCACTACTCAGTGGATGAGCATGTTTTTGTACAGATGCTCTGAGTCATTAATAAATCATTAGAGTATGTTCAGTGTACTCTCTTTGAGAAGGTGGGAATGCATTTTCATCTTTCCCAAATCTGGCCCAGACATACTGAATGTCTGTGTAGCTCTATGCTTCCTCAGTAGCGCACGAATGTTTCTCAGAGAGAAGGCTCAAGAGGAAGACATTTAAAGAAAATTTTAATACTAGAAGGCTTAAAACTTTTTAGTGGTTTACTGGGCACTTATTATATAGATAACTTTTATATTTATCTATGAAGAATTTTATATATTAAAATGAAGTAGACAAACTCTTAGTTTTTACATTGTTTAAACTCAAAAATTACATATACAGTGTTAACCTGTTCTAAAGATATGGGTGTTTTTAGTTCTTACTCCTGGATGTTCTAGAATTCACTTTTATCTTAATTAAAAAGTTACTACAGCTGGTTATGCTTCTGTAATCCCAACACTCCAGAGACACAGAGGCAGGAGATCATGAGTTTGAGGTCAGCCTGGGCTACCTGGTAAGAAAGACTGTGTCAAGAAAGGGAGAGAATCTGCAACACTACAGAGTTGTAGATACACTTGTATTCAAGTTCATTTTATAGTTTGCATATTATATCCCTGAAGATTTTTATCTGGTAAAAATTGTATCTCACATATCCTATGTTTATTTTATATAGCTTAATGGATTTTAACTTTGAGAATCAAGGACTTAGAGCCTTACTTGAAATATTCAGCTTTATTTTAGTAAAAATAAGTTTGACTTATTTTATAGTATTCAAACAAGTTTTTGTAACAATTAGATACAGAGATCATCCGCCTGGAACTTCTGTTGGTCATTACCTTGTGTCTATTTATGTCCTTCCAGAGCAGAGTGCCTGGCACTTAGAGGCTTTTGATAAAAGATTTAGTGACTGAATGGGTCCTCCTTTCTAAGATGTACCCCAGTTTCCTAATTATCTTTTTCAGTGGGACTGAGATTTGAACTCAGGGCTTTGTGTCTGCAAAGCAGCACTCTACCCCTTGATCCACACCTCCAGTCCATTTTGCTCTTGTATTTTTGAGATGGTATCACTCAAACTACTTGCATAGGCTAGCTACTGGCCTCAAACCACTATCTTCATAATCTCAGCCTCCCAAGTAGCTAGGATTGCACACGTGTGCCACTGTTGGCCGCCCCTAATTGTCGTCTTACACATTTTTAGTAATTTACTTTTTATTTTCTAGGCAATGAGTGGCTTCTTCGAGGACAGATACCATCTGGAGACATAGAGACCATCTCCAACCAACCAACAATTTCACTGCAAATTCCTGAGGACTGCTTGTCACATGAAGCCATGCTCTCCATCAGCGTTTTTCTCTATTACTGTAGCGCAAACAGCAGTGCATGCATGATGAAGGGAATTTTGTTCAGTCAGCCTTTACAAATAACTGATACACAGCCAGGTTGCATAGCTCCAGTAGAGCTCAGGTGTGCATTTTAGCAAGCCAGCTAGCAAGCTCCAATCCTCAACCCTTACCATCACTGTAACTTAGAAAAATAGCTTTATTTCTGTCTCTGGATTCCAAAACACCCATTGGCTCAGTTTTAGCAACCGATACTAAAGTAAGGCTATGTTCCTCACTTCCTTATTTATTATAAGATTCCTTCATTCTAGCTGTGTACTAGCTAAGTCACTGGCCATTACTTAAACCACGATAGTATAGTCTTTGCTGCTATTTGATACAAGACTGAAGTCCACACTATAGTAAACAATATTATCATGGAAGATAATTTGCAGTGAATACTGATAATAATAATACCAGGTATTTCAACTTTCTCTACCTTTATTAGTAGCAATCAGCCTACTTGCATATGCAAATTTCCAATAACTTTAGGCAGAACTAAGCTCTGTCCACATGTCTGTGTAAGGACACCTGCCATTCAATGCATAAAGATCTTGTTTTAAGACAAAAAGGAAAGAAAAAGTATTTACAGTAAGAAGCTTAAAGAGTGCATGGGCAGTTAGATATGATTTTTATTTGTGATTTTTCTCATGTGAGGTATTTTTTTAAGAGTTGTGATCTATTTTTATTATAAATTATTTGTTTTAACAATAGTTGTTACATGTTAACAATTATAAATGCCTTATACTTTATACAGAAAAAGTTGAGCACGGACTGACTCTAAGGGCATACTGACCCACTCCTTCAACTTACCTGGGATTTTTGTCTTGTTTTGTTTTTTTACCAGATAATGATTGCATCCCCAGAAATACTATGACTTTCAAGAAGAAGGGACTTAAGACGGGTTACTGTCTGCAATAAACAATTTTTTGGGATGGCTGAATCTGTTATAAATAGGAATATATGTTGCCTTAGAAATTTACATTTCACTTGTAAAGATTAAATGCAGATTTGTTGGGTTTTGGTTTGTTTTTTATATTCAGAATTTAAATTATGGTCATTTATTGTGATGCTTTTGGTGACTCACGCCTGTGATCCTCACTTACCAGGAGGCAGAGATCAGGAGGATCATGGTTTGAAGTCAGCCCAGGCAAATAGTTCATGAGACCCTGTCTCACAAAAAAAGGGCAGGTGGAATGCCTCAACGTGTAGGCCCTGAGTTCAAACCCCAGTATGGGGAAAAAAAAAAAAAGGAAAGAAAATCACATTTAATCCTCAAATTGCAGTCTTCAATGTGAAGTGTTTTAATACAATTAACATGTATAGTATATCCTAATATACCTTTAAAATATTAAGGCTGAAACATACAGTGATTTGCCAGCAGTGTTTTTTTTGTTTGGGTTTTGTTGGTTTTTTTTTTCTTTTAACCCCTAAAGAAACTGCCACTGAACATATTGGAGGGGTATTGTTGTTACTACCATCGTCATGATAATTTATCTTTATAATTATTTAAAAGTCTGTTTTGTTTCTTAAAACTGATTCAACATGTTATGATTTTATCAGCTTACAGGATTTCAAAAATCGGTGAATTATGTTTGTTTATTCAATATCTATTTATAGACAATGTTGTATAATGTGCTTCCCCTCCTTCCAGAACAGTACTAAATTTGAAGTTAAGCAGCATAGTCTGCCTATTTCCTTATATTTTTTGAAATACAGTTTTGAAACATAGTATTTTCTTCTTTCAGTCATAAGGTTAGCTAAATCTCTGAAAAGGATGTATAGATCAGGACTTTGATTTCACTAGTAGCCTGCTAAAGCTATTTTTAAAGAGGAGTATAAATGTAAAATGAAAAGGAATCCTGTTTAAAATTATATATAATTACCTCATAAACCCTTTCCCTCCACAAACAACCAAAAAAAGAATGTTCCATAATAAAAGGATATATAACATTGATATTCTCTTTCATGGAGGGTAAGCCTTAGCTACTTTTAATCTCATTTGATTTATTTTACTTCTCATTTCCAGTTGGACACGATGAGACTGTTTTGCCTCAATCTTTTTCTTTTTAAGGACATCAACAATTTCACTCTCTAAAATAAGCATAAGTAATTTTAAATTATGAATATAGAAATAAGTTTTTCAGTGTAATTCAAAAACGCAGTGTGTATTATATATTTGCATATACACTAAAAATCTAAAAATGCCTCTTAGAATCCATTAATTTTCCCTTTGTTTAGGTAGTTTTAGGCTAATCTTAAACTAATACTTTTCTTGATTTTTCAAAGCACAATTTAATTGAAGATTCTTATTCTTAACCACTGCCAGTTTGTATTATTTTTTACATTAAAAATATTAAGTGTGATGGATAGTTTCCTACAGCTTACTACTGACACAAACCTCTTACGTGAGAGCAAGTACTTCTAGTTTAGTTTGAAACTTCTGATCCATGCCTGCCTTCTGCTTTCTACAAGGACTTTTTTTTAACTTTTGCTTATATTTTTGCATAAATTACATCCACTGATAGTTTTAAAAGAGAAAGAGTTCAGTGTAAGTCATCTTAATTAGAATGCCAGTAAGATAGCACACCTTTAACATAATACCTGAAATCTTTGCCCTAAGCTTTTCTGCTATTTTTGTACAATATTTTTCCTCTTTGTGATATCATTTCACAAGCAGGGTTATAAAAAAAAATTTATACTCAGGATTGATATGATCCCTGTAGAGTTTTGCTTACTTGCATACTCTATCTTCAGCAAATATTTAACCTACTCACAGGAGAAAACTTTGCAGTATATTTACCCATAAGTATAACTTTTGCAAAGTTCAATGACTGAAAATAAATTTTTCTTTATCCGTTCTAATAATATATTTAATATATTTAGTTACAGTATGATCAAGGCTTCTGAAAGCTATAAATCTTAATGCAGCCCAAAACAGTTTAATTTATATAATTGAGTCCGTGTACCTATACAATTCAAAAAGCACTCACACGTGTTTCTTTTATTGCTAATCTACTTTTCAGCTAATATCACTTGAGTTTTTACTTTTTGCTTGTTTTCCCAAAGTTGGAAAATTTGGGAAGCTAATTAAAATACACACACACACACACACACAGAGACATATAATGTAATAATTTTCTTTTCCGTCTTCACAAAATTTATGGTGAGTTTATATCAATTAAAACAACTTCAGTGTAGCCATTATCTTTGGCATCATATTTAAAAACAGTCGTCGGGCTGGGGTGTAGCTCTGTTAGTGCATCCTTGGGATGTGCCGATCTTGGGTTTGGTCCCCAGCACCTGCCCTGCACCCCTAAGAAAACGTCATCCAAAGCTAGGTTCCATAGTCCACGATTACATGAGATATTTACAGATCCTGAATAGTGAAATTACAAATGTTTTATTTTAATTCTCCTTTTCTGTATTTTTTTTCAGTGATCAGTGTTCTATTTCTAAAAACCAAAAAAAAAATCACTACAGTTTTTTTAAGATATAAAATTAACTGAATCATCACTAATCACTAGTTTTTCTAAAGTCACTTTAATTACCAAAGATTTGGACATATTTTGGAATCCCTTAATCTACCAGTGCCCTCTATTCAAATATGTGATTTTGTGAGACAGATATAATTACAGCTTTTTCCCCCCTAAGTTTTTAATCATGCAACATGGGACAGTGGTAAAGAGCATGGACTGAATATGAGTTCTAATCCTATGAAATGGGGTTGGTATACTCCCTCATGGGGCTGCTGAATGTATTCCATGAAATACTGTTCATATAGCACTTAGTAGTTCATACTAAGTGCTTAGCTAATAATATGGGTAGCAATTTTTGACCACAGACACACATGGCCTGATATTTTCCTTACAACTGCAGTTTCTAAAGGAAAATATTTGATTGATATGTTAGTATTCTCCATAGAATTGGGGTTCAAGAAGAAAAGACAGTTTTATAGTGAAACATTTATAAACAGTATTACTTTAGAAAGATGATGTACAGATCTCTTAAAATTTTTATAAAAGACTTCTTGAAGTATGAGCAATAAACTTGCTTGAAAGACATGTAGGAGCTAAACCACGCTCCTACATGTGCCCAACAACTCGTATCAGAAAGCTTGTATCTTAACCAGAAAGTTTCACGATGATAGTGCTTTACTTGGTCTTCAGCATGCTTTCACATGTATTGCTCCTGTTGGGCTTCAAAATAACCTTACAGCCTTACACAAGTACAAGTGTATGTTGTGCAGGTAAGGAGTCAGGTTTGGGATGTTATGGGTGTGTGGAAGATCAGAATGCACCCGGGATAATGTCTGATGTCTAGGGCAGGTCCAGTGTTGGCAGGTGACTCAAGGGTAAAAAGTGAATGGCAAACCTTTTATTCAGGCACAGGGCTCCTAACTCATGACTTGCCAACAAGTGCTTTGTAAGTATTAACTCATTTAATCATCACAACAACCTTATGAGGGAAGGACTTTTAAATTTTAAATCCATTTATTCAAGCCTTGGAATGTTCTGTACATAAAGATTTTATGTACCTGTCCCCCTCTCCCTTAATTTCAGACATCATCCACAGTTTTTCTGGGCAGATGGATCTATTAGAAAAATAGCGTAATTACCACATGGCTGTCTTGGTTGGTCTTCAAATAGTAGTTAAGACCTTATTAAAAAGAATAACTGAATCCTTAGCCCAGTACTATCTCAGACCCTGAGAAGCTTATTTGTATTTTAGAAATTTTGTTTTACTAGCCAAAGTGAGCTCTAGAAAAATAAAGTCTTCTGCTTTCTTTCTTCGTAAATAATACTGGTATGTCAACTATCCCACAAAAACTCAAATATAGGTAGTTCTGTTGCACTAAAGTTTTGTGAGGGTCAAGCTGCTATTCCAGCATTAATACTCTAAAAGGAAGCAGGGTGCAGTATACCAATGATTACGATTCTTAGTCATCTTACATAGTTGTTAATAGCTTGAGAATTCTGTTTTGTTTTTTGCTTTTTTTTGTTTTGGCAGAACTAGGGTTTGAACTCAGGGCCTCGCATTTGCTGGACAGGCACTACTTGAGCCATTCCCCCAAGCCAAGTTGCTAATATCTTGTCATTTTTAATAGTTTGCTAAGTAAGCAGTACTATGATGCAGTAAGGAATTTGTTAATTTTGTTCTGAAATCCATAAGGAAATATATAGTAACTTAGGATAGTGATAGTGGTGACATACTTTAAAAGTAGAGCTCACTGTTAATCACCAAGATTGTGTTTTCCATCTGTGGCACATAGTTTATTGAGATGAATTAGCACTTACAACAAATCACTTGTTTTGTCATGAATAGTTAAAAATTTGCTTTTCTCCCATTTCTTTGCAAAAGAGTAAGGTAAAAAACAGTATATAAAGTTGGGGGCTTGAATACTCTGCCTGTATGTACCCATGGCCAAGAGACCTTGGCTCCTTCACACACAGACCTGCGGTTGGGACTGGTACTTCTGGCTTTCAGGCTACTGGTCTGACCCAGAGAGCCTGGTCTATGGCACTGGAGGCAGCCCTGCTTGTCTATTCAGTGCAACCCTTCCATTTTTTAGTGCGCTTGTTGCCTTTAATCATTTTCAAAGGTTAAGAGTTGAAAAGCTAAAACTCTAGACATTTACTTTGGAGTGTTTGCATAGTCATAGTTACTCACTGTTTGGTGTGTCCTCTTCTTCCCCGGCATGTCGCGCTCAAGTGTACCTAAGGACATTGTGTTCTGTTGAAAGCCTTGGCCAAAAAGGAAGTATTGCAAGTATTTCCAAATGTCCTTCCACCTATACCATCAATCTTATATTCAAAAGCACTAAATAAACACAAATAAGCACTAAAAAGCCCTATACCAAAACACATTCTTGTAACCTGTTAGAGCATGTGATGGATTCCTTCCTCTTTAAGCAGCAACTTACAGGATTGTTAAGAAATACAGAGTTAAGCAGAATAGTCAGATATTTTTTAATGTTCAAAACTTGACACTATGAGTAGTTTGAAAAACATAATTTATTCCGTAAATAAGCCCTTAGATTTATATGTGCCCAGTTTAAGCAGAATTTTTATTATTCTTTCTTTACCTAGTTTGTGCTATGCTCATGAGAAAATTGAGATAAATAGGACAAAACAGTCAACAAATCATGCTTAATGAAGGTTAAA